GTACCTCTTTGAACTGGGCTTGGCAGGCCAGATCAACCCACCCTCCTTCTGCCCACCTTCTCCAGTTGGGGCCTCCAGGGGCCACAAGGCTAGAAAGTCAGGCCGCACTTCTGGTGCAGAAGTGTTTTCCGCTGACCTCTTGGGGATCCTTTTTCACTTTGCCCTCCAGCTACAGCCCTAGGATCTGCTGTTGGTCCCCCATCCGAGACCTAACCAAGCCCAGAGATTTCAGGCTGAAACGTTAGAGATCAGGTTTGCCGCTTTGAATCCACGCGGCCATTAGAGTTCAGGCAGTGAATCCAAATAGGCTCATTCCGCTTCTCGACTCCTACGCACGAGAGACGGAGAACGCCACCCTAAAGCGCCCAAAGTCCAGCCGCCCCTTTCGTCCTGTGCAACGCATTGCACGGGAGCTTGCTTTTCAGCTGAGCCACAGGACCATCAGCCACGACTGCATCTTACAAGCTCTCCAGCTCGCTTCCGCTCAGGCCTGCAGGAGGGAGGACGGCTGGGGTCTGGTCTGGGCCCTGCCCTGTTCAGCATAATTAAAAATGACGCGGACAAGGGGTTACAGATACTGTGTGATTATCAGATTTGCATGTGACTAGGGGGATAGCAAAGATGCAGGTGACTAGAGGGGACAATCAAGATTCGGGAGGATCTTGGCAAGCAGGAACAGTGGGCCCAAACCAAGACCATTAATGCAACTGGGGCAAATGCCAAGTCCTACAGAGGCAGTGGCGTAAAACTGGGGGGACCCCCTGGGTAGCAGTACATGCGAGAAGGCCCTGGCCGTCTTGGCGGATCACGAGTGGAATACAAGCCCAAAGTGTGATGCGAGCTGCAAAAAAGGCAGACGCGATCCTTGTCTGCCTCACCACAGTGATCAAGATCAAGAGAAGCTGTTGCTCCGCTCTTCTATCAGGCCCTTCCTAGAATATTATGCCCAGCTCTGGGCACGACATTTTAGGATGAGCGCTGGCTCTCCGGGGGGGCCCAGAGGAGAGCAACCAAGGCAATAGGGGGCTTGGAGGGGGCACAGCTTAAACAAGGAACCGTTTGCCTGGAAAGCAGAGGGCTAAAGGAGACAAGAAGACCGTCTTCAAGTATCCCAAGAGCCGCTGCGCATACACAGAGCCTGGATTGTCCCACTGAGCTTAAACTCCAAGGACGGAGATTCGGGCTGGACCTCAGGGAGAGTTTCCTAACGGTGAGCACGAGGTGGGGGGCTTTTCTTCCCTGGGGGTGTTTAAACGGAGGCCGGACGGCTCTCTGTAGCGGGGAGGCTGTAGTGGTAGATTCCTGCACGGGGCAGGGAGTTGGGCTAGATGACCTCCAAGGTCCCTTCCGTTCTAGGATTTTCCTGTAGCTCTCTCTCCAAGCTGGTCTCCGCACCCCAAAAGCAGCAGCTGCTTTTATGAGACGGGGCTTTCTCTGTAGTGAGTAGGGGAGGGTGACCCGGTGCCCTTCTTTATGCTCTTTTTAAACACATTTCAGACCAACTTTGGACGTTCACACGAGCCAGTGAACTACAAGCTAGTAGGGCCTGCGTGCCAGGACAGAGATTCAGAAGTGATAGCGACCTCCCACCAGCACCGCCCCGCTCTGCTCTGCCTTGCAGCAGGCAGATGTTTTTCAGCCTGATGCTGTAAGGCGCTGGTTCTTTCACCCCCCGGGGGGATATGGGAGGGGGGGGGGGAGCTCTTCAATTACCCACCCCCCTTGTACTCCCCTTTTTTT